GTGAGCATCCGGTGGGGACGATCAAGGCCACGCGTCCTCCTCTGGCCCTTTGTGGTCTTCACGATGAGGCTGTGACCTAGGAAGCAACCCGAGCCCCCCCAGGAGGCTCCCAGCTCTGGTCCTGAAGCCTCACGTGGGCGATAGGAGAGCTTGTCAGTGGTTTCCAGTCACCTTGACTCACAGTCCTCAAAGAGTGGGCCTCCTTCCTTGGACAGCCCTCACTGGTCCTAGTTTGGGGCTGAGACAACGCAGAGACTTCCTATTTCATGCCTCTACCCCCTTTCTTTCTTTAGGGAACTGTGAGGGCCTAACGGGCAGGAGTTGTACTGGCAACCCAAAGGTACGTGGTTCAAATCCACCCGCAATCTCCTCCCACGTGATTTATTGCTTCCAAAAACCTGCTGGAGCATGTTATGGGTCGGTTCTGACTCAACAGTACACCATCTACTTTTAGATCCATTGGGCAAAGTCTGTGTGTGCACATGTATCCGTGTGTGTGTGCACATGTGTGTGTCAGTGTGTGTGCAGTTGTGTGTGTACATGGAGAGAGACAGAGTGAACAAGTGCCACACAGCCTGCCCTGCCCTGTCTGTGTGACGGCTCAGTGATCTGGAGATACCGAGGCAGGTGGGGAGGGGGTCCCGACCTTGGGGGTCCCATCTGAGGCCTGACCAGCTGTTCTTCCCTGAGCTTGTTCAGGCAGCTCCAGTGCTGGCGTGGGGAGGGGCTCACCTGGGGACACAGACATCGCCACCTGGAAGATGACACTGAATGGAAATGGTCCATCTTTTAGGCTTTTTCTGTCCAGGTCACACGAGCCCACATCTTCCTGCACTGGGAGTTTCCTCATGGTCACTCTCAAGCTAAGCTGCTCAGGATGGCCTCTGAGGGACATTACCTTCCTCTTCACTCTTCTGGACCTGCTGGCCATCACAGTCCTGTCACGTGGTCTAGTTTGTGGTTCTCTGCACAAGAATGTCCAACACTGTAGACTCAGAGACCCCCGTCAGTGTCCATCACAGGCCTGGGGTCACTCAGCGTCATACAGCCTGGAAAACACAGAGTCCCAGCTCTTCACCTGGACAAGCCGGGGACAGTGGTTCCACTGGACGCTGGTCTCCTGAAGCTTCTGCCCCCACTGTCCCATCCACACCAGCCCCTCCCCTCATGCCTCAGTGCCCTCCCACTCACTTTACCAACCTCCAGATGTTGAGCAAGAAGCCCCCTCCTTCAGACCCCAGCCTCCTTTCCTGACACCCTTCCCTTTTCCTGGCTGACCACAGACTATGAGAATCCCTCCCCAAGCTCCCTGCACCCCAGGAATGTCACTCTCAGGTCCAAGGACAACCCCTGCTTCTCAAAGCCCACACAGCAAGCTGCTCTTTTTTTTTCCTTGCCTTTTTTAATTGAGATTTTAATGAAAGTTTATAGAGGACTTGGATTTCCATGCATTCAATGTTGCACATTTTCCTCCCTGCTCCCCTTCCTCCCCAGTTCACAGCCATCTTCTTAATGGACATGGTGGACACACTCCATAAAATGTGCAGAAAAAATTTGCATAAATTTTTCTTATGCAGAAAAATGTAAATGAACCTTTTGTTTCCAAAATTGTACAGCACTGGGAAGTTGGGTCATTTCTGATACACATAAAAATGCAACCGGGGGAGGCCCAACAATCTCACCTCGGGAACAAAGCAAGAGAGGGGCGGAGCTGGAACCAGACAGGCAGTCGGCACACACCAGGACCTGCTGCCCACTGTCTCCACCACTCAAACATATTTCATTCGTCCAGCTCTTACAGACGTCATTTTAAAGAAAACACACCTTTTCCTCTCCAGACTTCTGTCTGCTGTGTCCTCAGCAGTTCTCAGAGAGGTGGACCGGAGACTAAAGGAGGGGGGGAGTGTGAAGCTGCTGCTGGCCACCCGGAGCGTGGACACAGTCCTGCCCTGACACAAGGCTCAGGAGTCCCCCATGCAGCTGTGGTGCCACTCGCTGCTGCACTCACCAACTTGTGGTCAGTTCCAACCTGTGGTTAGTTCTGTGGTGCCACTCGCTGCTGCACTCAC